TTTCTTGGGTTTGTAGTTTCATCTAATGGTGTTGAGGTTGACGAGGAGAAAGTGAAGGCTATAAAATATTGGCCTACACCTAAAAATGTAAGTGAGGTAAGAAGTTTTCATGGTCTTGCAAGTTTCTACCGTAGGTTCATTAAGAATTTTAGTACAATTGCTTCACCCTTGAATGAACTTGTTAAGAAAAATGTATCCTTTATATGGGAAAAAGATCAAGAACTTGCTTTTAATACTTTGAAAGAAAAATTGAGTTCTGCTCCCTTGCTTGCATTACCTAATTTTGAGTCTACTTTTGAAATTGAATGTGATGCTAGTGGAGTAGGGATAGGTGCTGTATTAATGCAAAATCAAAGACCTTTGATGTTCTTTAGTGAGAAGTTGACTAGTGCATCTTTGAGGTATCCAACTTATGACAAAGAGCTTTATGCTTTGGTTCGTGCATTGCAAACCTGGCAACATTATCTTTGGCCTAAGGAGTTCATTATTCATACGGATCATGAAAGTTTAAAGCATTTGCGAGTACAAAATAAACTCAACAGACGACATGCTAAGTGGTTAGAATTTATTGAAACATTCCCTTATGTCATAAAATATAAACAAGGTAAGGAGAACATTGTTGCAGATGCATTATCACGAAGGTATGTCCTCCTCAATACTTTGAATGCTAGGTTGTTGGGTTTTGAACACATAAAGGATTTGTATCAACATGACATGTTCTTTGCTCCTTTTGTTGAAACTTGTGAAAAAGGACTCATTGTGGATAATTACTTGTTGTTAGATGGATTTTTGTTCCGAAAAGGCAAACTTTGCATACCATCTTGTTCCATCCGTGAGCTACTTGTGAGGGAAGCTCATGGAGGTGGTTTAATGCCACACCATGGAGTTTCTAAAACTTACGATATGCTCTCTGAACATTTTTTTTGGCCTAAAATGAGACATGATGTTCATAAAGTTTGTGGTCGTTGCATAGCATGTAAACAAGCTAAGTCTAGGCTTCAACCACATGGTTTATACTCCCCATTACCGGTTCCTAATGGTCCTTGGATTGATATATCAATGGATTTTGTTTTAGGTTTACCTAGGACTAGGAAAGGTTATGATAGCATCTTTGTTGTGGTTGATCGATTTAGTAAAATGGCTCATTTTATTCCTTGTCACAAAACTGATGATGCAAAATATATTGCAGACCTGTTCTTTAGGGAAGTTGTACGATTGCATGGCATTCCTAAAAGCATTGTTAGTGATCGTGATGTAAAATTTTTAAGCCACTTTTGGCGTGTTT